GGATAGCCATGCAATTTAAAACAAGTCTCACGAGTGTGTCTCGGATCACCACAATATTCGCAATCTGGTCCATGTGTCAGGGTCGTTAGTCGAGAAGTCATAATCTGTGCAGCGGAAGATGTATAGGATACATGTTTAGTAGGAATTCAGATCGGGATCTGAGCCTGAGTCGGGGTCGAAGTCGGAGTCGAAGTCGGGATCGGGATCTGAATCAAAGACAAATTCGGGGTCGGGGTCGGAGTCATCATCGGAGTGGGGGTCGAGGTCGTTGTCAGAGTCGGAGTCAAGGTCGTCGTCGTCGTCATAGTCGGGGTCGGGGTCTGGGTCGTCAAAAAAGGATCCTGATTCAGGATTAAATTCGGGGCCAAAGTCTGCATCTGTAGGAGCTGAGCCATCTGGGCACTCAACTCGGCTATGGTTGGTTGAGAAGGAGAGAAGGAGTCGGTGGGGCTACCTCCATGATGGATGAAAAAAATCACCAACCCCCATAGCAGTGGTGGGGGTGTAAAACTAAAGTCAGCAATTCCAAGATCGCCGCTCTGATACCATGCTAAAATATGAATACTATGAGAGAATATCTGTTTGTGGGAATTTTCTGTGTATTCTTCTCCTTGTAGGAGGTCATATTTATAATACAACGAAACCTGAATTGGCAAGTAAATAATAAATTCCTAAATCTATTTACAATAGGAAATCAAGAATTAAAGTAAATCAATTATAATTATAATAGGAATTCTTGGTGTGTAAAGAAAGTAAGTCAATATCCACAAGTCACGCCAACAAATATTTGCTGAGATAAATGGCTGCCCAAACCTTATACTTACAAGGTTTATTCTAAACACCCCAACTTGCCTCGACGGGTAGTGGAATTAGTAGATCATGCCTCAATGACGTGGAGAAGGGACCTTATTGAAACTTATTTTAACCAAGATGAACGTCAGCATATTTTAGCCTTGCCAATTAGTTGATGGGGTTGCCCGGACAGACGGGTATGGCATTTTACTAAACATGGGCCCTATATGGTGAAATCTGGGTATGATCTGGCAATCACGTTGCGGTGGAATGGTGAATTGGGGAGGAAGGGTGAAGGTTAAAGTAGCAACCCAATAGCCCAAAGTGGTTTATGGAAAAGCATATGGGCTCTTCAGGTACCTCCTAAAATTCGTTTGTTCCTGTGGCGATGTTGTCATAATATACTAGCAGTTAGGGGTAATCTACGAAGTCAACGTATTGATGTAGAGAATGGTTGCCCTTTCTATGGCCCAGAGGAAGAAACCCAGGTCCATATTTTTTTCCGATGTGAGATTGCCAGACTTTTTTGGTTTGCAAGTCCATTACAACTAGATATGCAACGAATAGAGGGTGTGGATTTCCTGGAGTATTGGGCGCTATTCCTCAAGAAGTTTGAGCAGTGTATGAGGAAGGAGGAGATTCTTCAATTACTAGCGTTTGGTCTATGGAGACTTTGAAAAGGGTGAAATGTTGAGGTTTTCGACAACAAGCCTTTAGATCCCACAGAACTGGTTGGATGTTTGATACTGCAGGTAAATGAATACCGAGATGCTCAATTAAAGGTTAAACCGCTGGTCTCTCAGCTCCCAAGGCCGCCAGAAATACTTTTTGTGCCACGACTGTTATGACATTAGCCTTCCCATGGGATGATTAAAGTAGACTATAATGGGGCGTGGGTGGCGCATACTAAACGCGGCGGGACAGGCTGGGTTCTTCGCAATGACTGTGGTAAGCTTCTGCGAGCTGGTGGCACAAGATTACCCTGCTGTGGAAAGGCACTAGCGGCCGAAGCGGAGGCCATTCGGGAATCTTTGGGTGCGTGTCTTCAGCTGGGGTTCAGACAGATAGCGGTGGAATCTGATTCTAAAGAGATTATACGACTGATTCGAGGTAAGTGTAAGGGAGTCGCAGACATCGAAGGCATCCTCTTTGATATTCAGGTCTTGGCTCCTCAATTTCAGTGGGTAGACCTTAGATATACCCTGCGAACATGCAATAAAGCAGCACATAAGGTTGCTGCATATTTTTCTAGAGTTGGGGGTACATGTAGATGGGATTCATTCTGCTCAGTATGGCTCTCTAATGTTTTAGCAAGAGATGTAAACTTTGATTCTTCAATTCAATAAATTCCGCAGTTTTGACAAAAAATAAATTTCAAAACTATATTAATTTAGTTATAGAAAAAGAAAAAAACCATATTATTAATATTTAATAAAATATATTTTTTAGTTTTAAAAATAAAACCTCAAAATCAACATCCTTGGCCACCAAATAATTCAGTATTTGTGACAAAAACTTGAAAGTAGACAGATTTTCTTCGACCAAAAATATTGACATTAAATATAAACCAAGACCAAATTTTGGTTTGGTTGCCAATAAATCAAGGTTCATATATACCTTTAGCGATCAAAGTTTACATTTTTTGAGACCAAAACTACAGGACACCAAAGGTAAATTGCGACCAAATGTTTGAGACCAAAACTACAGGACGCCAAAGGTAAACTGCAACCAAATGTTTATTTGGTCGCCAATCCCTTGGATTTTCGGGGCCATTTTGCAAACTTTGCGCGCCAATGAGGCAAGGGATCAATGACGAAATTGTGAGGAATGGGCGACGAGAATTATTGGTTGCTTATGTGAATCAGAAATCAAAATAGTTTTTGGTCGTTGTTTCAAGTATCTACGACGAGCCTTCTACGACGAGTCGATTGTGACGAAAGTTTCATCTGCACTATTAATTAGCGACCAAAAACATACTTAGGCGACCAAATATATTTAGTCTCCAAATGGGTTTTTCCTTGTAGTACCTGAAACTCAAAAACACATCGTCACTACTACAAAAAAACGAAATAGACGACGGGAATTCACCGTCGTTGTGATGCTTTGAAAGCCATCGTTAAATCGACCGCCATCTTTTGGAGTATCAAACTACGACGGCTTTCCACCGTCGTTGTTTATCTGTAGAGACGACGGTTTTTAGTAAAACCGTCGTTATTCTGATGTAAAGACGACAGTTTTTGTTAAAAACAGTCGTCATTTATGGGTAAAGACGTCGGTTGTTTGAAAAGAACCGTCGTCTATTATGTCTAAAGACGTCTGTTGTTTTAAAAGAACCGTCGTCTATTATGTCTAAAGACGATGGTGTGATAAACAACTGTCGTCTATCAACTATAAAGATGACGGTTTTTTCACAAAAAACTGTCATGTATTATCTGTAAAACTGACTTAGTGATTTTACATTTTAGTTTTTTTTTTTCTTTTCCCAATGGTTCTGTAGAACGGTTTTAACTAGAAAAACAACCACAATGCTTTTTGAGCAATAAATTCAAGTCCAAATCCGCTATAACCCACACCATACATACATATACTCAAAAATTGTTTCTTTCATAAAACTTGAATATTCAATAGTATTACATAGTTTACCAATCTTGATTCCTACTATATCCATACAAAATACCATATACATAGTATTAACCTATACTTATAAATGGAGGAACTACATGCTCACAAATGTTCCCCATTCAATGCGAACTTCTGCTGGACCTTCAATGTCTGCGCCAGGGCACTGCAGATGCCCATCCAAAACGAAAAAACAAATTAAACCATATAAGTTTAGAGAGAAACTGAAGAAAAAATTAAAAACGTATAACAAACAAAGCCTAGAATAATTACTTGGGTAGTGGAAGAACTGCACTAAACAAGATCAATGAATAAAGAAAGACCTTTCTCTGATAAATAAAAGGAAAATTAAAAGATGAACATCAAAAATCACTTTGACAAAGAGAAAGCTATAGCTAGCTCTTAAATCGATGGTTGCTGCCAAAAACTAGATTGGAAAGAAAGAAGTCAACCTGGCTGATTATCATTAACTTTCCAAACTGAAGATCGTGTCCTTGCCGCTCTTGTAATCCATATTCTTCCCTGTAATCCCAGAGGCCAAAAAACATTAGCAGATGTACAAATCACAATACAATCGCAACTAGCTCTAATTATTGAAATCACAATACAATTGCAACTAGCTCTAATTATTGAAATCTAAAATTTCAATATGGAATTTGTAATGTCCCAAGTCTGGCATTGCACAAAGATGTATACTTTATAAAGCAATTGCAGGCTAATTAAAATACAATTAAACCAAATTGTGAGAGAGAAACATATATACAAGAACGGGAAATGAGAATATACTTCTTTTCAAGGCAGACCATATTACTAATTAATTGCTAATTAATTGAACAGTAACTAAAATAGAGAGGTTCTAGTTCTAGGCCGCTAGCTTATCTCTCCAAATCCCCACTTCCATAGAACAAATCCAACACACTGTCTCCCTTCTTTGCCAAATCCCCACTTTCATTCAGATAGTTAAATCTCCCTACATTCTCCATGCCCCTTCCTCTTTGAAGCACAAAATATCTCCAGCAGGAAAAACAGTGGCCAAATTATCAAAAACTTAAGATTTCTGGTTATGAATACCCGAGTAGGCTACTGGATTACACTGCCTATCCAACCTAGAGGAAGTATGAAATTTCCAGAGTATCCTAGGACATACACATTGTTGATACATGTGGTGAGGCATATGAGCCAAAGAGTGAGCTCACAAACAATAAAGCAACATCAATATAAATATCACTAACACAGATGTACCAGTTACAAATGGGTACCTTGAAAAAATTATGAAAAAAATAAAATAAAATCTCATACAGAAAGCTAAATCCCCAAATTAAAATAAGAAAATCGAGAAGTGTGAGAATAGAATACATGGTTCTCTACGAGGCTTCAAGAGTAGCCTGGGTTTAGCCTTCGATTCCATCAACTGCTCAAAAAATCACACATTCAAAATCAAAGTAACCAAACAATAATATAGATGGTGGAAATCAGAAAAAAAAGTTGAAATTTACACTCATTTTGGTATTCTAAGACTTGCCAATTTCCTTTGGCTCAAAATAAAAAATTAAATTAGAAGGAGGAGGAGGAGGAACTTATAGAAGCTGGAGAGTGGAGCAGCAGATCTGCGAGAGAGAAAAAGAGAGAGTCATGACAGAGAACACAGACCAAGCCAAGAGAAATCGATTAGAACAATCTCTTCAGATTCCTTAGCAGACCTCTCCAAATCCGTATCTTCAATTCGCAAAACAAATTTCCCTCCATTAGACCTGAGCCAACACAGATAGTCATACTCATATTCCTTTGAAAACACAGATACCTTGTGAGATTCGTCACTCGTTGCTCATCAAATCTCTGTACGAAGTAGTGGCCAAATTTACCTCTGACAGAACTGCTCAATGTCAAATCCCAAACCCTTGAGGTTTTGCAAGATGGGAGAGAAAGTTCAAGATCAGAGACGAGTGAGAGCCAGTCGTAGGAGACAATCATGACTCAGAGGTCGAGAGTAGAGAGAGCCGAACTTTGTGTGATTTTTGGGATTTTTTCTTTTTGAGAGTTCGAGAGCAGAGAGAAGAACTTTGGGGTTTTTTTAGAAAGAGAGAGACGAAGGAGATCAACTCATTTACGGGGCACATGGTGGAGGAAGAGGTCGTCAGATCTGAGCGGTGGAGTCGGCTGTTGTGGTGTTGGAGCCAAGAGGGGCAGATAGTGAATGGGAAGGTGGCGAAGCCGGTGTTGAAGGACAGGTTCAACGAGATCCACCAAGAGCACGAAGGGCCGCGAATTTCGAAAGGAAGGAGGCCAGGGTTTGGAGCTTCACAATTATCAGGAGCTTTAATACACAGACTGAAAAGATTCAAACTAGAGAGGTTCGCGAATGGCCGCGAATTCACTAGCGAAATTTTTATTAGAGCGTCTTGGAAAGACGACGGTGACTTCTTTCAACCGCCGTGCTATTAAAATCAACTAATTTGAAAGACGACGGCACCCTTCTTTCAACCATCGTGTTATCAAAACAACCATTGGATTCTCCATTTTTTAGGTGTTTAAGTTAATATTATACGGCGGTTTTATAAAACCGTCGTCTTTTCAAACACAACGACGATTTTCCATTAAACCGTCGTTTTTTTCTAGTCGTCTTTTTCACTTTTTGTAATAGTGCGTGGTTCCATTGAGCAGCTGAAGGAGGAAAGGCAGAGGCTGTTTGGGTGCTCAATTCCATTGGCAATCTGCTGCTCCTGCAAACACTACTCAATTAAAGATTCAAAAAATCCAAACACTCAATGGAGTAAATACAAAGATGATGATAAATGGCTTGAAAAATGAAAAAGATTTCGTATGGTCCATGTTAACAAAAGATATTACCGCAGAGAGAAACAAAAATACAAATTTCAATGTGTAAAACAAACTGTGTTGGCATTGAAAAGCCTCATCACTACAGCAGTGAACTAGAAACTGCATATGCTTTAGCTTAATTAATGTTACCTGAACAAAGCAGATATGGAAATGTAGATGAAGCAAGCTAGCCAAAACTCACAAAAAATACTTCTCAAGATCATCCAAGTAATCAACAAGAACAACCAAAGCTAACAGCCTCAGAAAAGAGGAGATATAAGTAGTGGCCAGCAGAGAGAGAGAGAGAGAGAGAGAGAGAGAGAGAGAGAGAGAGAGGGAGGGAGAAAAGGTTGAAACCGTGTAGTTACAGTAAGCACACGGTTTCTCTGGTCTTCAATGGGAGTCCAAGTCTTCTTGGGTCAATGAGTAATTTCTTTTGCTTTTCAATGAAGAGGAAGTTCTGCTCAGAGACAAATTATCGGGGCTCCCCACGTCAGGCTAATTATTTGAATGGTCGGTTTCTTGGTAAAATTGGGGTTAGATTTAATTGAAGGAAATATCAAGACAATTACTTGATCTTTTCAT